GGTCTGAGGTGTAGATCTTCTGGTCAGAGCGTCTCTTCCTGGACTCTGAGTGAAAGAGTTAATCGTGAGCTGTGATTGGCTGAAAATTGGAGCGTCAAACCCGCGGTAGAGACACACACAGGAAGTTCACCTTTCAAAATAAAAGCGCACAGCCTCACACACGGGTCTACGTGACTCTGTATGAACCCGTCCGGTCTGAAATAAAGTGTGTTTGATTAAAGCTGCACTGTGGAACTTTTCCAGTGGAGGGTTCAGTACCTGCTTGTCTCCATAGAGATGTTATTACTATGCCTGGAATGTCCCGCAGTAGGGCATTAACATTTATGTTCTCAATTATAGATGTTTTTATTTGTTTTGATAATAAAATGGTAAAGTAGTTGTAGTAGTAGTATTTAGTAGTAGTAGTAGTAGTAGTAAAAGTAGTAGTAGTAGTAATAGTTGTAGTTGTAGTAGTTTTAGTAGTAGTATTAATAGTAGTTGTAGTGGGAGAAGCAGTTTTAGTAGTATTAGAATTGATAATAGTGAAGATAAAAGTAGTAATAGTAGTAGCAGTAATAGTAGTTGTAGTAAGGTTATATAAGGTGGTAGTAGTAGTAGTAGTAGTAGTAGTAGCAGAAATAGTTGTAGTAGTATAATATAGTCTAGGTAGCAGTTCCTCATATCTCAGTAGTAGAAGTCACTGTAGTAATTGTTGTAGTAGTTGTAGTAGTTAGTTAAGTATACTTGTGTAATAGTAGTAGTAGTAGTAGTAGTAGTAGTAGTAGTAGTAGTAGTAGTAGTAGTAGTAGTAGTAGTAGTAGTAGATAGTAGATAGTAGTAGTAGTAGTAGTAGTAGTAGTAGTAGTAGTAGTAGTAGTAGTAGATAGTAGTAGTAGTAGTAGTAGTAGTAGATAGTAGTAGTAGTAGTAGTAGAGTAGTAGTAGTAGTAGTAGTAGTAGTAGTAGTAGTAGTAGTAGTAGTAGATAGTAGTAGTAGATAGTAGTAGTAGTAGTAGTAGTAGTAGTAGTAGTAGTAGTAGTAGTAGTAGTAGTAGTAGTAGTAGTAGTAGTAGTAGTAGTAGTAGTAGTAGTAGAGTAGTAGAGTAGTAGTAGTAGTAGTAGTAGTAGTAGTAGTAGTAGTAGTAGTAGTAGATAGTAGTATAGTAGTAGTAGATAGTAGTAGTAGTAGTAGTATAGTAGTAGTAGTAGTAGTAGTAGTAGATAGTAGTAGATAGTAGTAGTAGTAGTAGTAGTAGATAGTAGTAGTAGTAGTAGTAGTAGTAGTAGTAGTAGTAGTAGATAGTAGTAGTAGTAGTAGTAGTAGATAGTAGTAGTAGTAGATAGTAGTAGTAGTAGTAGTAGTAGTAGATAGTAGTAGTAGTAGTAGATAGTAGTAGTAGATAGTAGTAGTAGTAGTAGTAGTAGTAGTAGTAGTAGTAGTAGTAGTAGTAGTAGTAGAGTAGTAGTAGTAGTAGATAGTAGTAGTAGTAGTAGTAGTAGTAGTAGTAGTAGTAGTAGTAGTAGTAGTAGTAGTAGTAGTAGTAGATAGTAGTAGATAGTAGATAGTAGTAGTAGTAGTAGATAGTAGTAGTAGTAGTAGTAGTAGATAGTAGTAGTAGTAGTAGTAGTAGTAGTAGTAGTAGTAGTAGTAGTAGTAGTAGTAGTAGTAGTAGTAGTAGTAGTAGTAGTAGATAGTAGATAGTAGTAGTAGATAGTAGTAGTAGTATAGTAGTAGTAGTAGTAGTAGTAGTAGTAGTAGTAGTAGTAGTAGTAGTAGTAGTAGATAGTAGTAGTATAGTAGATAGTAGATAGTAGTAGATAGTAGTAGTAGTAGTAGTAGATAGTAGATAGTAGTAGTAGATAGTAGTAGTAGTAGTAGTATAGTAGTAGTAGTAGTAGTAGTAGTAGTAGTAGTAGTAGTAGTATAGTAGTAGTAGTAGTAGTAGTATATAGTAGTAGTAGTAGTAGTAGTAGATAGTAGTAGTAGTAGTAGATAGTAGTAGTAGTAGTAGTAGTAGTAGTAGTAGTAGTAGTAGTAGTAGTAGTAGATAGTAGTAGTAGTAGTAGTAGATAGTAGTAGATAGTAGTAGTAGAGTAGTAGTAGTAGTAGATAGTAGTAGATAGTAGATAGTAGTAGTAGATAGTAGTAGTAGATAGTAGATAGTAGTAGTAGTAGTAGTAGTAGTAGTAGTAGTAGTAGAAGTATTTCTACGCGCTGGACCAGTTTGTTTGTGTCACACAGAAACTAAAAGTGTTGATCAAATTGTGTCTGAGGGAAATTCCCCCGATCACATGACCTCTGACCTCAAAACAGGAAATCTAAAAAGGATTTGACCTTTGAGCTGCGCACCTGCCTGACACCTGCCCAACACCTGTCTGACCTGCCCAACACCTGCCACACCTGCTGACACCTGACACTGCCTGACACCTGCTGACACCTGCCTGACACCTGTCTGACACCTGCCTACACCTGCCCACACCTGTCTGACAACCTGCCTTACACCTGCCTGACACCTGTCTGA